TTATATGCTTGCGTACTCCACCCGCATGGTGTGCGTACTCTTACACACCCCATGTGGTAAGAGTACGCAACAGCAGCGGTTCAGAAAACGTCAGTTTTAGACCACTTCCATTTACGCTGAAGGATCGTTGCCTCATGGGTTGATGGTGAATTCAATGAACTTTGATATTCTATATTTGCGATTTCTTTCTTTCAAATATTTAACAAATGAGAGCAAAAAATTCACTAAGTGCGTACTCTTATACGACTTCACCCTACCGAGCTATGTGACCGACGCGACGGTCACGGTCATGGGCACGTGTCAGCGACGATTGCCGCCCCCGCCCCATCGCCGCCCCGCTCCTGCCCCCGCCTCTAAATTCCGTCGGCTACACGTAAATGGTATGTATGTACGGTGCCATCCCGGACCCGCGGGCGAGGAAGGAAGGACCTCGGGATATATAGCCTTGCTCGGGATAGTCACTGGACAGTAGAGCACTTCATGGGCCGGATAAATCCGTTATCCACGGATAAATCCGCGGACCGGATAGGATTGGATTCTAAATTTGTTAAAAAAGAACGGATATGGGCGGGCCGGATTTGGGAATTGAAGGTTGAACCCGGGTCAAAACGGATCAAAATTTTAACATTCAACATTGAAGTTAAAAATTAACCTAATGTGTTAAGCGGCAGCAGAGGTTTGATTAAAGTAATAGGCATCATTTTATGACACTCACTTGTCACAAGACTTGTCTTCAAGTGGATAATGTATGCAATGTATGCATGGTTTTTGGAACCATGATGGTCTATGAGATGTATGGCTGTCTGGTCCCTTAGATTGAATTTGTTAGTCCAGTTTTGGGTGAAACCAGTTATTGGTGAAACGGATTATTACGGATATTTTTTGGAAGTTTGGCTGCAATACGGGCCATGGGTGGGCCGGATTCTGATATTCAAAGAAAGGCGGATAATGGGCGGATCTGGATATGACTTGCCGGATATGGGCCGGGCCGGATCCTAAAAAGCCTATCCGTGAAGTGCTCTACTGGACAGTGACGCATCATTCCTCTCCCCTATACCACTACCCAGAGGCCAGAGGAGGCCCGCAGCGCCACGGTGGCTCCCACTCCCCTTCCAGACTGTCCCGCTCCCCTTCCCGACTGTCCGTTGTGGTTCCCGGTAATTCAGTCGCTCCGAAGAGTCGCAACAGAAGAGCCATGTCGGGAGCCTGTCAATGCCCAGCTCACGAGTCGAGTCCGACTCACGACTCAGACACGAGGCCGAAAAAAAAATCGGCACAACGACCGGACCAGTGGCGGATCCAGGATTTTCACTGGGGAGGGGCTGCAGGTCATAATTGGGCGCCACGCCCCGGATGGGCGCCATAGTCGCATCGTATTGGCGCTGAAATATTGGCGCCCAGTGGCCCTGACAAGAGGCGCCCAGGATCAGTATGTACAGTGACACCACACGATTGGAAATATCGGTGCGGAGCGTACTGAAACGACGTTATTCGACTGATTTTTGCATCCTAGTCCTAGTATGCGGCACTCCGATGAGTTGCGAATTGAAAATTGGCGCCACTGCGCCTTCGGCGCAGTGGCGCCAGTTTTCCTTGGGTGGGGGCTGCCAGCCCCCGCAGCCCCCCCCCCCCCCTGGATCCGCCACTGGACCGGACTCATCGCACATAATGCCGCAACTCAGTGCAGTCTGAGATGAACGGAATGCCCAAGATGGAATGCCAAACTGTGTGAAGGAATCTTGGGAGATCAAGATAGGGGCCCGGTTAGGCAAAGTAAATGTGCTGGTTTGATAAGAAATGATGATCATCCGACGATCTCTATCATATTATATTTTATCATATTACATATCATATCATATTACATGTATATTATATTACATGAGGAGTTAAATCAACTAATTAACTGTTTTACCCTAACAGGTTATTGCCAACAAGTAAAGTAAGATGTAACTTGATGCTAGTGTCTATGGAACTTGGAAGTTACCTACTTATTCGACCGAAATTTTTGACAAGATAATTATATTTCGTGTACAAGCACATGCTTCATATTTCGCGGAGCTGTAGCTAAATTCAAGGCGAAATAATCACAAAAGTTGGGGTAGGTTTTCGGATAGGTCGTTTCCATCAGTGTATGAAGCAGATGACAAAACAATAAGCAAAACATGACACTAACCGGCTCCCACAACAGACGACGTAATTTGGGCGACAAGAGTCTCTTCCCAGTCCCCTCCCACAGGCCAGGCCATTCCCCAACTCCACTAACCCAGGGCAGTGAGAATAACGTTTCATTCCACGGCATGAAATATGAGCCACTAAAAAATATTTTAATTTAGGAATATATTTCTATCGAGAATTTAAAAATGACTAACGGCATGGTCGGAAGTCGACGCATTGGTTTGGTTGCCCGTTTCGGAGCTGTTTATCTTGATCGTCAATCCGTTCAATTGCCGCACATGCCCCGTTTCCAAATATGTGACTCGCAGATGATCTCATCAGTCCACTTTCACAAAGCAAATCATCGTCCAACCCTTGTGACCCTGAGGAATTACGGAGCCCGCGGGACCCAAGCGCTCCCCGCCCCCTCCCTCAGGCCCAGCCGGCGGGCTCCGCGCCTCTCCGAGAACAGCTGATTCAGGGTTCAACGACCCCGCGCCGGCCACGGGGGCACTCACCTCGGATCGTGCTGGGCATCGCGTCACGGTCGGCTCCGGCATCCCAGTGACAACTTGCGACGCGTTTTCCACAACAGCTTCAAGCTCACATCACACTCACTCCGCACCAACACCATAAGTCCGACTTAGTCCTCACTGCATCAGATGCTTGAGAAATCCTACATGACTACAGATTCATGCAGCAGTACGCCGCCAGAGGATCGATTTGAGTTCTCGACTACTAACGCCATCTATAAGACACTGATGGAAACTAAGCCGAGGAGCGAGGAGAGTCCCCAGTCTCATAGCAGGACGGCAATATTCAAGTGTCCGCAACGCTCACTAGATGGCAGAAGCTGCTAGCGAAAAGGCGCGCCCAGGGACCACGAGTTTGCCCACCAGTGTTGTGGTCAATCACGCTTGCCGCGGGGCACGTTGTAGGTACTCAAGATAACTTTTTCTTCTTCTGGATTTTGAGGCCTGACTGGCAGTGACACACTGCCGACAGAGGACACGGCGTGATACCCAGAGGCCAGAGGCGATGGTGACGGCATAGACGGTGAGTACCAGACGACTACCGTATACCAGTTCCTACCAGGGGCGGATCCAGGATTTCCATGGTCCTCCGTTCGGTCGGTTCCATCCTCAGGATACTGAAGTCGGCTTCTCCTCCACGCCGCAACCCCCACTCCGGGCTGGACAGACACCTTTATCTTATCGGGCTGCTCCCTTGGAGCGGCACCGCTGCTCCCGAGGGAGCGAACCCCGTAGCCGGGTGCAGAGTGCTGGGGGGGGGGGGGGAGGGGCTGGTCGGTCTGTCCATTCGGACAGGCTCAGTCCCGGCGACTCTCTAGCGTGCCTGCCCAGACCAATGTATCCCCCTAATTCCTATCATCCTTCCGGCTCTGAAATGATCTTGTCAGACCGAAAGGGCCTAACCCAATAAAAAATTAAAATTTCCATGGGTGGGGGGCGGTCTGCACAGGGGCGGGGCGGCACATTTTCCGCCTACGGGGGCGGCATTCACTTCACTACGGGGGTGGCACTTCGACGACTCCAAAGCAGGGGCGCGGGAACTACTTTCAGACGGGAGGGGGGGGGGGGGGCACACCATAATAGAGATCAACCTAAGGCAACCTCTAATCTAATTTTCTCACCGGTTTTAGGCCACTTATTTTTAATACCTTGACTTTTTCAACAAAAAAGAAAACATTTGCAAAAAATGCGGTATTCCGTCTCAAAGTTGTGGGGGCACCACCCCCACGGCCCCAGAGTTGGGGGGGGGGGGGGGGGGCGGACAAGCTGCCCCCACTGCCCCCTGGCTCCCGTGCCTATGCTTCAGGGAGAGAACCGACATAATCGGAGGGTTAAATATAAATTCAGTGTTACTACCAGCCAGATATTATTATGACAATGAATGAACATTGAAGAAATGATCATTTCAGTCATTTCCGTGAAAAGCCCTCCACCGCATATCGAAAAAATGCCGCCCTCAGCCGCCGGCGGCATGAGGGCGGCATTTTTTGATTGGCTAGGCTAGGCTTCGGCCCCCAGAGGTCCCCTGGGCCCAATCTTACCAAATGCCGTGAATGCGCATTCACGGCATTTGGTAACATTCAGAACTATTCCACATTCACTTATTTATTCGTTCAGGTAACATTTATAATCATTCAAACTAACAAAATCACTAGACAAGATTAGCTGGATGTAAATAAAAAGGATGTCTTTGATATCGGTGCCGTAAAGTCCGCCCAGTGCTCCCAAATCCTATTTACGGCATTGGTAAGATTGGGCCGATCCGCGCTTGGTATATACTACCTACTTAGGTACCATACGTGCCACGCATCTAGAAGTTACGCAGTGCTCAGTGCATGCACACCTACACATTGACGTATCACGTAACTTCGTGGGTGCCACGAATAGTGGAGACAGAGCTGATGTCGGCACCGCTATCCCTCACTAGTATAAAAATCTGGGACTGACCACGGCTCCAGTGAACGGGGAAGTCAATTATATTGCATGCTATTAGTCTTGCAATATGCATAATCTTTAGGTATCTATTTATGCATTTAAGTTATTTTCAGCTACGATCTTTTAACCATGTTTTATATACGACACCCGAATAGTAGGTAATGGATAAAGTCCTCCGTTTCGTCGTTTCCATCCTCAGGATACTGAGGTCGAATTCTCCTCCACGCCGCAACCCCCACTCCGGGCTGGACACTATGGCGCCTTTGAGTATGAGATAGGCACTCTATTTAGTTTTGTTCGGCATTATTCATTATCCAACACACCTATCATTTATTTTTTCTGGCTCGTGTGAGTCTTTGTGAAGAACAAATGCAGATACCTTACCCCTTCATATATTTCACATCACAAAACAATTATCTAGACACATTTTGCGTCATTAGACGTAGGTGGGCTGCTGCGGCTGCTGTCCCTCGGCCCAGAAGAGCTCCGGGTGCTCCTGACGCAGCTGGGCATACTCGGGAATCTGAGCCGGCGCCACGGGCAGGTGGGCACCTCGCGGCTGGAAACCACCCTCGCTGGCCACGTACGAGATCTGGTAGGTGTTGCCGTCGTCACCGACAAACTGGAAGTTGCCCTGCTGGGTGATGCTGCCCGTCTCCGGCTGCGAGTCCGGGTACACGCTACCCTCCTCGGCAGCCTGAAAACAGAGGTAGGTACAAAGTTAGTAAAAGAGTTTGTTAATAGGCCTTTCCACTGTTTAAACCTTTTCAGCTACCCGTATTTTAAAAATTTTCATTGACATGATGGTCTTGTAATGATATTTTGTTGAGAACATAAATGTCGAATTTAGTAATAAACTTCTCTCAACGTACCTACAAAGATCTGCTCGAAAAAGGATAAAAGTTGCAGCAAATACCTATTCCTTATTTTGCGCATTGCTAGTTGCTACAATGCATATCCAGAGCACTGGCTGCGCTACGCACTGGCTGTGCTACTTACGGCCTGTCCGTTGTCCTGCTGATAGCTGTGCTTGTAGTTGCCGGTGTTGGGGTCCTGCTCGAAGCTCTGGCTAAGAATGTTGATCAGCGGCTGGGGGTTGCCCGAGTACTGGTTGGGCTGGTAGTTTGTTTGGGGAGCGGCCGCGGCCACAGCCACAAGGCAGGCAACGATGATCTGGAAAAGACAAGAGCAGCAGTAGTTAAAGAACCTGTCAGTTTGCGGCTTTTGAATGGTCAGAACAAAGAACGATGTGAATTCGTCTAGAAAAGTCCACTTCTCGTTTCGACTTACAGTGTTCATGTCTGGTGATTGTTTGAAGTGGCTGACTGTGCAGTGTTCAGTGAGTGCAGAGTGGATCACCACACGCCGGCTTTATACGGCTGAGGCTGCAGCAGTGCCATCTATCGGCCAGGGTCACAGACTCGCTGAATGGACGTCCGACCGGTCTCAGTCGTTGCCAACGTCGCCTGCGTGGAGGGAACAATTCGTATATTACGCAAGATTCGGTAATGCTCTTTGCCTTCTATGTGAATATGGTGGTTCTGACATAATTTATGCCACTTGTGCCTATCGCGCTCGCCCCCATTTGCCAATTTGCCCGTACCATACTTGCTCCATGCTGGCCTCAAATTTGTATTGGGCTTTTTACAACGTATAACGCAAGATGTCAGGTCGTAGGATCCTTCTCCCAGCCCTTTGGCCGCTGATTGTGCTAGAGTTTTGCAGAAAAGAGTTTTCCGTGATGGAAATAATCTGGTGGTACCCAATTTTAAGGTCCTGGGCCGTGGGCGATTGACTAATATTCCAGTTCAAATCAACGATCCAAGCGTCCAGGAAATCAGGGTCTGCTTGCATTTTCTAAAATGGGGCGGACGATATCTTTTACGAGCTCCTGATTTCGATGTCGCATTTGTTTTGTTTAAACATGATGACTTTATGCATTTGAGGTAAATCGGGTCACGTCAGGTCAGTTCAACCAGCATGCGTCCCACCGGCTATCCGTAATAGGTGGTTTCCACCATCGCCAGCCTCGTAACATGTTGCACGAGCACTAATTTGGCTTTTAAACGCTCAAGAAAATCATTCCAAAAAATACTTTGTGCATGTAGTCATAAAAATCACCTCAGTGCATCAAAGATCAATGACGTTGACCTGACCTTCACGTTACCTTTACGATAATGCGTTGGACAAACATATCAGATATCTGTTCGTGTCTCATCACAAAAGGTCTGGAAAGCATAGACAATGTGTGATGACATACCTACTTCGATTCACCTTACTGACCTGACATGATCTAGAGAAAGAGGTCACAATTCCTAGGGGTTATTGAACTTCATGGAAGGTGCAGAACTGATTAGAGTACTAAAATTTCCGTCGCGATTCAACGCTCTTTACATAAGCAAGTCACACGTGAAAACCGATGGGGGTCCGTTCGCCCCCTCACAAGTACGGGTATCTACCTCATGTCTACTCTGCGACGCCCTAAATGTCGCAATTTTGCATCTTCCGCAGTGCTAGGGAGCCTTTAACATGGAGATTATGCTAAGAAGGCTGAGTAACCTCTAAAGACCTAATAACTTCGAATTTTCCCTATAAAGGGTCACTTGAGGTCAGGTCCGTCAAGTGACCTTACGATTAAAAGTCAATAGCGGAATTGTTGAAACTGTTATTTTAGCGCTGCGAATGATGTAAACTACCTGAAGCATATGAAAAAGTTATTTTTACACTGTTTTCCAACATGAGATGTTTTTTTGCATTGTTATCCTTTCGTGACGGAATATATCACGTTACTTAGTTCATCGGAGTTTTTCGTCAGTAATTTCCGATAAAATTAAGGTAGCGAAACGGGAAAGCCACCAAGGGACTAAGGAAGACCAGCAAAGCGAATGATTGTCGATATCATATTTTTTAATCAGCTTCGTGAATCTAGAGACCAGCTGCCCTGACCTTGACCTGAAGTCAGCACCGTTAGTTGACAAAAGCATATTATTCGACGTGCCTGATGGTTGTCTGAGTGACGGTGCCAAAATTGCGCTTCTGCGATCGTTGGTGGCGAAGCTTTTCACCAAAATCTGAACCCCTTCCTGAAGACATTCGGTGTGCCGGTCCCGTAGCTCAGTTGGTTAGAGCGTTGGACTCCGCGTGGTGAGAGCACGCGTTCCCGGTTATGACAGTCCGGGTTCGAAACGCGACGGGCGCTCGACATTAATGGGCCTCCTGACAGGTATGGTTGCGGTTGGTGGCAGGCCGTAGCCAGGCGAAGTCAGGGAGGCGACCGGCCGTGCGCGGCTTTGTGCGCACGTTAAACTTTGGACTCTAAATTCTGCCATAGAATCGGAATTGCGCGATCGGAGGGTAGAGGGCAGGGTCATCGCAACAAGCTTCGCTTAGCGGTGGCTCTGTCCTTGTGAATCCTTCCCATCAAAAGGTTCGGACTAAATTTATAAAAAAAAAACCTGAGAAATTACTGGTGGACCTGATGCATGAAATCGGACATCAATCGCTGCAGCTTTTAAGGTCGCACACACTCGTTTTTCCGTGAGTCTTCCGTGAGCTAAAATGGATTGCAATCGCGCCCAATGTTTTATTTAACGTGAGCTGACCTTTACCTAACGTGAGCCGTTACCGCGGATGTACAGAACATAACACATTTTTTCGATAAAACAAGGAAGATACTTGAAAATATAATAAAAAAGTAACCGTACTCTCATAATTAAAATCAAAAATCTTAAAAAAGGCCAGATAATCTCGAGGAGCTTTCGGCTTACTCCTTCTTCAACTCGCTCTATTTTCCAACCTTATCAAAGGTTGGTTCCGCGATTGAAAAACTTTAACCCTCGCATGTGTAGGGGGGGGGGGGTCGGATGGACCCCCCCCCATGGTTTTTCGCGAATAACTCGCGTAAAAAGCGGCCGATCGCGACGAAACTTTCAGTACCCTCACATTGATCAATTTTACACCTACCCTGAAAATTTCATGACCCTGACCCAAATGACCTTTGACCTGTGACCTCTTTTCCGAGACCATGTTTGGCCGGAATCGCGATTCGGCGTACGTCGGCTCGCATTAGCCGCGCGTTTGCAAGCTTTTCGTGGTTTCAAACGTTCAAACATGTGATATGATGTTGCTCCCATGCATTAGGGTGGGTGCCAAGGTCACCTGAAGGTCAGGTCAGGTCATTGACCTTTGGTGACCTCGGGTGACCTCGGTTCACTTTTTCGAGTTTTACATGTTTCTAGGCTAGTTTTTGGAGCTGAATTCGAATTTAGCAACCATTTGAACATTTACGAAGTAGTTTTGGTGCCTTCGTAACATGTTACGAAGCTGTCAGAGGCGGTTGTCACGTACTACGAATACCCGTCACGACGCCTACTGGTTGACCTGACCTGACCTGACCCGACCTGGTCTAAATGCTCAAAGACATCATCTGTGATCAAAACTAACACGATATTCGTGATCAGCACCCCGGAAAACCCCTTAGCAGCCACACTTTACGACTTTCTAATAGGTCCCGATTTTCCCGACTTTGGGGTCATTGACCTGACCTGGAAGGTCAACCAATGACCTAGGACCTTAAAATTGGGTATCATCGGCTTCCTCTCGTCACGGGCAACACGCTCGTTTTTTCCGCGAAGCTCTAGCTCGATCAGGGGCCAAACGGCAAGGGGGGGGGGTCCAACCGACCCCCCCCCCTACACATTAGAAGCTGGAAAACGCCGCACACATGCGAGGGTTAAAACTTTAATTAATTAATTAAGTTGTTCAAGTTAACCCGCGCCTCGTAGGGGGGGGGGAGGGGCCGAAACGGCCCCCCGGTCCTTTTCCGTCGATATCTCCTAAAGGGCTGGAGATATCGCTACCAAACTTTTAGGACCCCTCCGGGCATCAATTTTACATATTGTGACAATTTTTTCCAGAGGTCATGATAGGTTGGCCAAAAATGACGTCAGAATGACGTCATGTTCTGCCATTTTCGACCGAAAAAAGACCTTCGCAAGAACAGCTCTCAGGCCTACAGCTTTGAAGATACAGAAAAATTATCAGACATAAAAAGTGTAGAATTAATAGGGCTACAAAACTGCTCTCTCGGATTTTTGAAATTTTTGAGTTTTGACCCCCAAAAATCAGAAATGCATTTTTTTTTATATATTAGCCGAAAAATCCAAACAGTTTTTTTAGTTATGAAAAAAACCGGAATATATGTAATAGTACCTACCGTCTTCTATCTACATACCAAATTTCAGATCGATATCTGTTTTTTTTTGGCCAAATTATAGCGAAAAAAACTGTTCAAAAATGATGACGTCACATTTTCAAACTCAATTTTTGGCAATTCTAGACCACGTAGGGCAAAACAAAGACCACCATTGGACTCCCCGTGACGAGCTGCATTGAATGGATACCCATTTTATGCAAAATATCAACTTTGAAATTTGACCTAATTTGACCTGACCTTGACCTGACCTTCACCAAAACGTGACCTAAGCTGGCCCCAAAGGCTGCCTAACCAACATAATCGCATTTGTCATGTGAAATGGACCATAAAACATGTATCACACGACACTTTCATATTGTGACCCCCAGTGACCTAACTTCTGTGACCTGACCTGGTATCAGTGACCTCAGATAGCGAAGTGTGTGTTTGACGAACAATGTACCATCGATGGTTTTCAATAACTTACCAATTTGCTTGATTTCACAACACTTTTCTTGAAATGCCTGTGAACGTTGAAAATCTGACCTTTGAGCTGACCTGTGACGTCATCGGTTTGACCTAGGTCAATGAAATTTGGTCACAAGGTAGTTCCCTGGTGGGGCTATCGAACGCCGTTTGAAAATCGGCCGGTAAATTTCTGAGGTCTTAGGGGGGACCGAAACGCCCCCCCCCCCCTACGGGTGGTAGGGTCCGCCGGTAGCCCTACGGGGCGCGGGTTAACCAAATTGCATCATATTGCATATCATTCGATTCGACTGATCACCAGGAACACAATGACACCATTTTTAAGCTCTAGCGTCATTATGTGCCAAGTTATTGGCAAAAACGTCATTTGACCTCAGTTGACCTCATTTGACCGGACCCATGGATAAGTACACCAAACAAAGAAGCACCAAGTGACCTGCTGTTAATTACTGTATACTTTCAAAGCACAAAAGTGATGGAACAAAGCGGATATCTCCAGTATTTTCCGAATTTAGTATTTTCCCATAGGCTTAACATTACGACGTTATGACCTCTGACTGACCTCAGGTCAGTGACATAAAAAACCCGAACTATATGTTATACAACTCGGTGAACTTAGCACATCCTCAAAGTTTGAAGGAAATCAGTCCAAAACTGTGAGTTGGACAGGTGCAAAAAGAAAATTGAAATTTGACCATGACCTTGTACCGGTTTTTCTGACCTGGTGACCTGACCCAAGGTCAATCGGACATGCAATTTTCAGGCCAAATGTAAAAAGGTTGCCCC